TTACCTTATGCCTTCAGAAGAAAAAACTCAGCGTTTGAGTTTTTTAATTATTTAAAGACAAGAAGTGTCAATATATGAATCAAATGTCACATCCTGCTCAAAAAGAAGCAAAGGTCAGGCAAAGGCAAACTATGCAACATTACACACTTCAGCATCTTTATTATTTTTTAAAGGTATGCTGATGAACTTACAAAATCTCTTTAAATCAGTGTTATCTAAATATTCTTCTTATAGCTTGTTTTAAAGCAAAATAGAAAAAATTCACATGTATTTTCACTTTAACTTCTCTACCTAAAAACTAAACAAGAAAAGTTATATAGCTAAAAACATACAAGGACTTGGTTTTCAGCATTTATTAAAGAACTGAAATATTTAACATCCACTAAGTTTAGCTTACTAATCAATAAAGAGTAGCATTCAGCTCTTGTACAGTGAGACACATAGTGAGTAATCAGTAAATATCTGATGAAAAGATGTTTTTTTGTCTTTTCTTTTTCTTCTTGTTACTATTGTTATTGCACAGCCTCTTCAATCCCTACCTAAAAGAAAGTAACAATTATTTCTCCTTGGGTGGTTTTTACCCAGAGGTCAGAGAAAAAGAAACTAGAAGAAAATACTCCATCAATAAAACATTGTTAATATTTGGTAATTATAATTTCCACCCACAAGTCATTTAAGGAAGAATTTTCTAATTCCCAAGTTTCTTTAGGTTAAATTTTAATTATTTTTTAATTTATGGTCAGCTATTCAGGTTTTCTCACCTAAAAATACTCATAGGCATACCATATTTTTGCACATAACGCACCCAAATAGATAATGTTCATAAGCACATGACACTCATTAGTTTCTTATGAGTGTCTGATGTGCAAGTGGATTGTATAGTTTCCAAAAACCATATAACACATGTGTTATTTGCATAAAAATATGGTGATACCAGATGATTTTATAAAAGTTCTTTTACGGACAATAAAATGCTATGAATGTATTGTGGACTTTTTACCTATGCTATTCTGAGTTTTTTCAGTTATTTAAATGCTATATTATCTGCAACATGATAATACTTTAATTACTAAAGAAACCTTTTATCTTATACAAAAAATAAACCCATGAAAAATGCAACAGAAGTTACCAAACTATTCCAGACATTATAAAAGAAAACTAGCCACTGCCCATCATTCTATTTTCCTGTGTTTACCAACTTCCCTTGAGGAGTTAAAATGTGTTTTCCTTCAGAAAATCAAAAACAAAAACCTTAAAGTTACTAATTTAAAACATTAATTACAAAATTCTTAATTGTCAGTATGTTGTTGTTGTTATATGCCAATGAGTTGGACCCGACTCATAGCAACTCCTTCTTGGGTTTCCGAGGCAGTATCACTACAAAAGTAGATTGCCCCATCTTCCTTCCGAGGAGTGGCTGGTGGGTTTGAACCACCAGCCTTCTGGTTAGCAGTCAAGTGCCTTATGCACTATGCTACCAGAGCTCCCTACTGTCAGTATAGAACTTACTTATTATAGAATAAAATAATTTAAAATTAAAATTCCTACCCCTTTTCACAAAGTTAATATTAAGTTCAGCCTAGGAAACAGCTGACTAAATAATAGTTAATTAAGGTCTTTGTTACCTTAGCAGTGGATTGGCTTCGTCTTTTACTTGTCACCTGGCATGGAAATAAGTAATAACTAAACTAGCACAAGACAACCAAGACTGCTTTTGTCACTGGCACCTAGCTTAGTTCCCAGCAACAAAGTAGGCTGTCAACTGATCTCAACAAACATATGAGAATTATTTCTTACATTTAAACAAAAATTTTACCTATCAGAACCCAAGGACAACCATAGAAGAAATATGATTACACAATCTGTCACAAAGTAGTCACTCAATAAATTATGAAAAGTAATTCCTAAAATCACACAATTCATTTAATAGAATACAGCTACTAACACAGGGAGGAATCTAATTATACAGTATCTTCTCACAAAAATTTTTGTGAATGACTGGTCAAAGTTTCAACACGCCTAAATTTTTAACATAAAATATAACTGGCTGAATTCTCTGGTTATATACTCTCAATTCCAACATCACCTGCTTCAAAGAAGTTAGTTTCATCATTAAAGTTGAAATAATGGCAACATAGTTCATGTAAATGCCCTGAAAAAATTTGTTTCCTGAAACTGATTCACAGATTTAGTATTTTTAGCTGCTACCAAAAAACAATGAAGTGACTTTATTCTACATAAGCATGACTTTTCCTCCTCTGGTATTCTGCAAATGTTGGTAAGTGCATTAATTCACCCCACACCCCCACATCCAGCATCCTTCCTCACAAACAAAATACATTCTTCATATACCAAAATCAGGAGTATGGTGGATTTATGTTCTAACATCAATGCCTAAGGCAAAAATGTCACATATTCAAAATTTCCCTTTAAATTACTCTTGATAATTTCTTAGGAAAAAGCTACATTTGCAAACTAACCCACTACACTCAGTAAACTCCAACACTGAAATTAATGCTTCAACCAAGCATTATATGTTCTTTGCTTATCTGGGGGTCATGAAAAAATGTTTAATACTATATTCAGAGATGAGATGAGATGTTCATATTAAGATAAACACTTGGGAGCTGGGGCAGATTGTTTCTATTGCATGCTTATTCTGAGGCATTCCAATAAAATGGAACTGTAGATGAAATCCACCCAATGAACAAAAACAAACAAACAAACAAAAAACAAAGTCATTGCCCTTCAGTCAAACCCCACTCATAGCTGCCCCTCCTTGGGTTTCTGAGGCAGGTGGGGCAATCTACTTCCGTAGTGATACCACCTCAGAAACCCAAGGAAGGGGCGCTATGAGTCGGGGCTGACTCGACACACATAACAACAACAACATCACTACGGAAGTAGATTGCCCAACCTTCCTTGGAGCAGGGGCTGGAAGGTTCGAATTGCCAGCCTTCTGGTTAGCAGTCAAATGCCTTAGGCACTATGCTACCAGAGCTCCTGAAATTATTCTAGTGGGTCTGAATATTTTTGTATAACAGAATTGAAAATATCAAAGTTCATGACACACTATTAGGATGATTTTTCTGATATTGTACATGTGTACTTATTAAGTTGATATGTAACACTAACTTCATACTGTGGGTTAGTTTTTAAATGGTTTGAAAAAAGTAGCATTTAATAATATATTCTTGTTTCTGTGATTTTAAACACAGTGAGAGGAACAATGAAAGACTTAAAACTGAATGCTTAGTTACTTAAATGCTTTTTTACAAACTACTTGGGAGTTCTATTACTTTCTCTTAAGTTTCCCTATGAGAGGAAGTATGGTAAGACTCAAGTTTTAGGGTGTGGCATATTGCCAATCTCATCTCTGTTAATGGGAAGAGCTATCACCTAACTGTGCCTATTACAGAAATCTCAAGAAAAATCTAGGCTATGACCTTATGGATATCCTTACCTCTTCCTTAGATTATTTCAACCATTTCCCTACTCCATGTATTTCCAGCGTCACAAAAGCCAAATGCACGTTTACAGCCACATTTTCAAAGCATGTAACCATGAATAATGAATTTTGAGGCAGAAGGTTATTGTGTTATTACCGACTGACTTCATTAACCAAGTCATTCATTGAAAATATCTTAGCTCCTTGACCATCTATGTGCAAACTATGGGAAACAGCTAAAGGACAGAGTGTAGAAGACAGGGGTAAATACCTTAGATTAGAATTTGTGAAAGTAACAAAGGCCTCTATCATGGGTTCATGTTTTTTAAACTTCCCAAGGGTGAGTTGTAGAGATAAAAGGTTTTCATTCATTAGTATCTTATTTCTCCCTTTGCTTCTTAACCAAGGAAGAATGAAAAAGGGTAAAGGCAACTTGTTAATGCAAAGCCATGCTCAAATTTGAGTAAAACTGCCCAGGTTTTACAGTTTTGACTTAGTCAGCAAAGACATGGCAAAAAAATCTAGTAAATCTAACTGTGAAAGATAAAGGAGTTTATGAACTTTTAAAAAAAACAAACCCACTGCCATGGAGTCCTTTAGACTCAAAGTAACTCTTCCCTACAGAGGTAGAGTGCCCCAAAGTCCTCCCGAGAGTGGCCCGAGGGTTTGAACTGCCTGCCTTTTGGTTAGCAGTCAAATGCCTTAGGCATTAGGCCACCAGGACTCCCCTTTGTATCTGTTGTGTTGTTAGTGCCCACCAAACGTGGTCATCTCCAACTCATAGTGACCCCTCCTTGAGTTTCTGAAGAGGTATCACTACTTCTCTCCAACTCATAGTGACCCCTCCTTGGGTTTCCGAGGCGGTATTACTATGGAAGTAGATCGCCCAATCTTCCTTCCGAGGAGTGGCTGGTGGGTTTGAACCGCCAGCCTTCTGGCTAGCAGTCAAGTGCCTTAGGCACTATGCCACCAGAGCTCCAGCACTGCCTAATAGGTTTCTATCTTGAAAACAAAGTGACTCAAAACGTCTTGGTTGTTGAGTAAGTGTCCAACATTTAATCTCCCACACCTGTCTAAGGGTTCAGGTAAAATCAGAGCAGAAGTGATAAGGATGCAAAATTAAGTCTCTCTGAACATAAGAGTGCCATGAAGCTCATTCTGACAATCTGTCCACAAGTGCAGGAAAGTAATGTTAACACAAATTGGATTAGCAAATGTTTTTCACTGACAAGAACTCCTGAAAATAACATTTCTCACTTAATGACTGGTCGGTCTAGCATCTTTTATTGTGTGTTCAAGTTTCCAGCTGGGGACTCCCTAAAAATTTCAGATCAGTGTTTCCCATTTAAGTTTGACTCTGTTATTACAAATTCAAGTGTAAGTTTGAAAACTAAAAACAAGCTCCTTCATCGATGAATTTTATTCTAACAAGTGTTGACACTTTCTTGTTCAACATTTTCAACTCGAGGGCTGAAAGCCTCTCCAGGTGCACCACTACAGTCACCCCCAAGAACTTGGCTTTTTTCGTGTGTGTGGGAGGAGGGCGCTGCGTTTAGTTGATATACAAGTGACGAAAACCAAACGCAGGACGCGGGGAGGAACCCTGCCGGCCGCGTCCGGAGAGGGGCGGGAGGCCGGGTCGCGGTGCCGGGGAGCCGGCCGGGCTGCGTGTGGGAGCCGGCAGGCCCGTCACCGCCGGGGTTGGGTGGGTCCCATATCTGCAGACGGCGCTGCCGAGGCAGGAGGGAGAGGGGCGCACTCCCACGGGCCCCGGCCCGAGAGGAGGGGAAAGGCCGGAGGCGAGGACCCTCAATACCTGACATAGGGCCAGCTCCTCCCTTAGACTGCTCAACTCTTCCTCTAGCAGCTGCATCCGGGTCGCCATCGCCTCCTCTACTGGGATGCCCTCGAGCCGCCTGGAGGCCATGGGTGCGCTGAGGAGGGGAACCTGAACCGCCGCGCCCCCTCGCCCTCGCTGGCCCCTCGGCCCCTCTTCGCCCCGCCAAGGCACATCACTTTTGCCAGCTACGCATTCCCGCGCAGAGCCAGCAAGACCCGAGGCCTCACTGCGCACTGCATGGACTTCGGTTCCCTGCCCAACATGAAGGGGCCAGGGGCCGGACTGTCGGTCCTGGGGCGGAGGGCGCGGTGAGGACGACGAACGTGCCGCCATGGCCGCGGATGCTAACGGGTCAAGTACCCTCTAGGAAACTCCACCTCCCCTTCCCCATCCTGGCGATCCCGAAACTACAGCGACGCATGCGCGAGCCTTTTCCCGCCTTGGTGCTCGGGGTCTCGCGTTCTCAGGCCCTGGCCAGCTTCCCAAGGGCCGCGCGCCCAGCTCGAGCGTTAGGCTGCGCACGCGTAGTGGCCTGGAGTGACTGCGGAGGGTAGCCCTGTCTGTCCTGCGCGCCACCCTAAAGTGCGCAGCCGGAATCCTTCGCCAGAGACGCCTCTTTCCCTCTACTTAGCACCCAGCTCACATCCACCTCTTAAAGTTTTCCTTGACAAGCCCCCAACCCCAAATGATCCCTAACTGTGAATTCCTCCCTTCAAGGTCCCTGCCAACCCATTCGTCATGTTTCATTGACCACCTTGAGGTGTTAGTTACTCAGCTAAGCTCTCCAGCATAGTTGTAAGCTCCTTAAGGATCAGGGAACAAGTTTTACACTTAGGTGTTTTTTTCACACCGCTTAGTGAAATTGCTTTGCATATAGCTGAGTGTTGTCAAAGAAATGTGGAAAGCCTAGTGCAGAGCTGGGGCTATCAGCCAGGTTGCTTCCCCCACCACCACCCTTTTTCTTTGATTTTGCAAGAGGCTTGATTTCCTTTGAGTTTTTGTCATCTTTGTTCATCGGCTACATGTCAGAGTGAACCTGGCCAACATTTTCCAACAATTTAGGTCCTTGGACCAAACTGAAATCAGTAATTTGAAGTGTGATTAAAGAAAAAAGACCTGCTTTCTTCATTTATCTTCTTTTTTCCTTCCTGTTAGAGCTCCGTGGGCACTCAACTACCACGCCACACACCAGGGTACCCAACAGGAGATTTTATTAAGGAGGTGAAAGGGCACCTGCACTGAGGAAGGACAGAAGAAGAAGAGGAGGAAGAAGAAGAAGAGGAAGAAGAGAAAAAGAAAGAAAGAGGAAGAAGGGAAGAAGAGAAGAAGAGGGAGGAAGAAGAGGAAGAGAGAGAGCAGGGGAGAGGGTGGTCTTATATAGACCTGGGATTAGGAGGTTGTACATCAGAGCTGGGGAAGAGGTCTTAACCTATCAGAGGCTATGTTGCCTTTCAAAATTCACACCTTGCAGGAAGCTCAGTTTCGACTTCCTTTAACTGACTTATGACCTCAGGTGGGGCAGCAGGGAATGAAGAAGAACCTGGAAGAGCCACGCAAGATGGCGTGGCATATCTCTAACATTCCCCCCTCTTTGGTTTTTTAAAAGGAAAAAAAAAAAGAAGGGCCCACTGTTGTGGGAAAAGAGGCGAAGGTCAATCTTCTGGAGCTGCTTCCTGCTGGTGAGGGGCGTGGCGTCTTTGGAAGCGGGGCCTTCCAGTCTATACATGCGCTGGAGTTTGTCTCTTGTAGTACCAAAACCAGTTTTCTTTTGCTTCAACTTCAGAGATGCTGAGTTGTTTTGCCTGGTTGGTGATTTGTGGTATGTAGAGGTCCTCGAAGAAGAGGCTTCTAAAGGTGTCTACTCCCAGGGGTCGGCTGGACATGTTTGGCATCTGGTGTTCTGGGACCTGTAAGACAGGCTGGGTTGCAACGATTAGGGGAGGGAAGCGAGAACAGGGAAACTGTGGAGCCTAGGTGGCCAAGGTATCTTATTAGTTGGGTGGTCTCCACGAGCGCAAGGGAATCTCTTCCAGGTCTTTGGCTTGAAGGATCATTTGGTTTGCTGTCTGTCGCAAAATTTGGGTAGATATCTGGCGGACCTGTGATTGAATGAAACAGAGAACACGGGGCGATGGTAACAATCAACACGGTGGAGATTAGGTGGCCCAAGAATGGTAGGAGCCAGGGTAGGGAGTCTGAAAAGAGGGAAGAAAAAGGTGGTGGACCATTGTTAGTGGATAGACGTTGGTCTATATTAGTTGCCCTCTAGACGAGTCTTTTGGCTGTATCTTGTACTATATCTGACTGATTTATATAAAAACAACATTCTTCTCCCAGAAATAGGCAAAGACCTTTTTCTGCTGTTGTTGTTTCTGCTGTTAGTAAGTCTAATTCTCTCCTGTTCTGAAGCGTGACTGCTGCAAGGGAGTTGAGTAATCTCCCGCAGTTTATCAAAGTTAACAGCTTTATGTGAAATAGCCTGTAGGCCCGCTAGAAGGCACTGGAGCATTTTGTCTCTACGGGTGCGGCCATTCTGCCCAGATTGGGTGTCTAGTTGGTATTCTCATCCAGGGTCCTGCTCAGGAACAGCTTCTGGACCTACTGGCATGGTAGAGTCAGTTACAGGAGTTAGACTGGTATGTTCCCGAGCAGCCCCAAGAACACGCTCCCTTTTGTCAGAATTTAAAGTAGAAGAATGACATAAATGTCATGCCAAGTTAAGTTATAGGCTTGAGAGAGGTAACGAAATTCCTTAATGTAGGTGGTGGGATTATGAGAAAGGGAACACAGATGTTTTCAATCTGAGATAAATTGGTGAGGGAGAAAGGAATATGGACACGGATAACACCTTCAAAGTCAGCCATTTCACATAAGGGACAGAAAAGGGGCTGTTGAGAATGGGTGTGGCTGCTCGCTGGGAAGGGTAGGAAAGGACTCTGGGAAAGTAGTTTCCGGAGATGTTAGTGAAGAGGAAGGTGGGGGTGGCGGAGAGCGTGCAGTGGTGTTAACAGGAGGTGGAGATGAAAGTGCCTGTCCTGAATAAGGGGGTGTTGTATAAAGTGGGGATGAAAGAGATTCAGGTGGTCAGAAAAAGAGGAAGTTGGATGCTCTGGTGGATGGGTCTCATAAAAGATTCTTAATCTAGATGGACTGAGGCTAACACCATAATCTTCTTTAAATCCCTTT